GAATCCATAAACTTAGGGTTTTTCTTTGTATAATTTGCTTGTCAGCTATAGAGATGGATATTGAAGGCGGTAATCAAATAAGCAGCCTTCCTGATGCACTTTTTATCTCGGATTATTTCTCATCTAAGTATCTCAGAAAGCATACGAACAAGCATCTTGTTAGGAAAATGGAAAAACATACGAACAAGCATACGAACAAATCTTTGTCTTGCCTTCACTTTGATACAAACTTTCTGACCAAATCCTGCATAGATATTCACGACAGAGATACGAGTTTCAGAAATCATGACAGAAAGAGACTATATGACCAGATTTCACGAGCCATAGGTTTAGTTAAAAGGGTCATTGATTCTCGTTAAAAAAATCTTCTATCTTGTAGTATTTATCACATAGAAGATAATTTTAAATTTGGTCTCATTGAAAGATTGATAAAAAAAAAAATTATTGAAAAGAGAAAAACAAAGCAAAGCACCATTACAATGAATAGTGCTTTGTGAGGAGGGTTATAGTAAAATCCTCTTATAAGGTTATGGTAATCTAATGAAAAGTAAATAAAAAAAATTATAAAATTTAATTTTCAATCAAATTGATATTAAAAGATGAAATTAAAAGAAAAATATAAAAAAAATCTTAGTTCACTCGATTAACTTGCTAAACCAGGTTAACTCATCAAATCTAGGATCTTTGTCATAAGAATGTGATAATTGAATAGAGAAAAATAATATTAAAGCACTAAATTAAACAAAAAAGATTCATTGCAAATTGAAAAACAAAAAAAAATACAATTAAAAGTCATCTGTTGTGAAAGGCTAATTGATTAGTAGTTAAAAGTGTATTTTTATCAAAGTTTTATATCATCATTTTGTACTTGAATTATCAATAACTTCTTAACTAAAAAAAGTTTTATAATAACATATCTAATAATATAATATACCTTTAATTTATGGTAAATATTCTTTTTAAATCCAAGCCTATAACATAAATGAAAGGATTGATTGATAAGT